TTGGGAGCCTGTGTTTATAGAGGGAGGATAATTGACCCCAGACACAGAGTGAGGGCATGAAGGTGGGGGCGAGGGAGCCAGCACATCTCCCTGATCTGCTGCAGGCTTTGTGCAGCCCGATCCGGCCCTAATTGCTCTAATACCCCAGGAGACAGTGCAGCCAGTGTAGGTGTCTTCTCCTATCTCTCAGTGAGATTTAAATTGCCACGGATATCTAATTTATGTTCTCCCCAGGACAGGTGGTCATAAATTGGGAAGAGAAAGGCCTGGCAGCATCACATAAATCACGGAAGGGAAGCAAACAGCGGTGTCAACCGCAGCCTCTCTGCTGTTGGGCAGCCTGCTCCAAGCCGCGCTGCCATCTGGCTGCTTTCCGTGCGAGTGTGCTGGTGCTGCCCCAGCCTGGTGCTGCAAATGCTCAGCAGGGCACGGCCCTGCCTGGCGAGCCCTACCTGCTGCTGTTAGTAAACCACGGGCAGAGCCCACAAAAAGAAAAGTATTTATCTGTAGGATGGAGGCACAGGGGCCTTGCCAGTAAAATATTCAGTGGGTGGCACAGTGGAAGCTGGCTGCCAACAGGAAAATGTGAGAGTGGAATTACTGTTTTCTTTCTTAGGGAAGGTGATGCCCACGCTGACCTCCATGGCCTAAGGGGTAGCTAGAGTCTGTCATTGTTGCTTTCTGCAACATCTTTCCCTAGTGGAAAAAAAAACAGCACTATTACTACATGGACCAGTTTTGCTGGAGGCAGGAATGAGTTGACAGGATTGACATTTGCCACCAGCCCCTTGTGCCAGCCTGTGCTGGGCTGAGCTGAAAGCAGAAAGGATATAGTGGTGGTGACTCCATGGGAAGAGACAGACCTTCTCTGCCCAGTCTGGCGCTGTCACCTACTAATTGTGTGACATTGACAAGTCAGTTAGGTCCTTGAAGTTTCAGTTTCTTTATTTGTATAACTGACTTACAATACTTCTGGTAGACTGACATAAGGCAATATATATATTTTTACGGATGGTAAAATATGCAGTGACCATGTAAGCCAGGGTCATTGATAGTCTCGGTTTGTGAACTTGCCGCCTTCTGATGGGCAAGCCTGAGGATGCTGCTCTCCATTCTCTGAAGCTGCTCTGTGTGAAACCTGACCCAGCCCTGCTCAGTGGGCAGCCTCTGGGGTGTGGGCTCAGCCCCTTCCTGGGCTTTCACTATGCCATTTATTCCTAACCTGGACACAGAGATTGTAGGTTGTGGCCTGTGCCCGTGGTGTGACTTGGGGCCCCATGAACCCCAGCAGTGGGGACTGAGCAGTGACCAGAAAGCAGGGACTACTGGCTATAGTCATGTCCTGGACAGTGAGCAGTGAGTGAGCCAGGCAGCCCATGTAAATAAGAAACAGCCTCTGTGGTGCACAGCACCTTACAGGTAACAGACCGTTTCTGTTCACACTACCCTGTAAGTGTGCTAAATAAGGTGTCTTAGGCCTCCTGCTTGTGGTATGCTTTGTACTAATTAAAAGAGAAAAAGCACTAACAAAGGAGATTTTAAATGATTTTGTAATTTATTAATCCCACCTGAAATATATATATTGGGCAAAAAATCCTAGAATATCCACGTATGAGACAACACTGTTTTCAGTCCATTGAACAACGTCGGTGTGCCCAGGGATTCCTAGACGGCTTGCAATGCACCCTCGGCACCACAAGGGGTCACCAACGACCTTACCTCCTCTCTGTCAGCCTTGAGGGGCTGTTTTGCCTGGGACGGGGACTGTAGCGGGTGGAAATAGCTGGCCACCAGCTCTGCAGCCGTCCTGTAGGGAAGTCCTGGACAGCCTCACTGCCCCCTGGAGTCCGTCCCATTTCTATTCCTAGACTACGAAGTGGACAGGCACCTTGGGAGACAGGTGACCACACCTGTACTTTTCACAAACCAACCTCCTCACCCCAACCCGCCCGGTTTGAGGGGGCCGTGCTGGGAGGAGCAGCTCTTTGGGGTTCCCCACTCCTTAGGGACCTGGTGCAGGGAGTGAGTGCCTGTGTGTGTGGTTGTTGGGAAGGGAGAAGTGACACCCAGGAGTGGCTAAGCCTTTGTGGAGAGGAGCAGGTTGTTTAGACCCCTCAGTTCCTCTCAGGTTGGTGGCTGCACTTGGGAGGCAGCTAAATGGGCAGGTTGGTGTCCTGAGCAGCGAGAACCATCACTGTGGGGTCAGCCAGACCTGGGCTCTGCCCTGTCTGGGCCACTGATCTGTGACCTTGGCAGTCCGTTACTCCTTAGAGACGCCCCTGTGAAACGGGATGGTTACATTCCCATGGAGGTAGATTGTAAGGACTAAGAGAGACACCATGTGTGAAGTTTTTTATAAACTGTCCGTGTGTGAGGCTGGGAACTCCGACTTTCAATTTCTCCCTGAGATAATCAGAGAGCCTGGGACCTTAGACCAGTAGTCCTTAGCCTTTTCTGGCACCAGGGACTGGTTTTGTGGAAGACAGTTTTTCCAGGGACCAGGGGATGTTTGGGGACAACTCAAGTGTGTTACATTTACTGTGCACTTTATTTTTATTATTGTTACATTGTAATATATGAAATGATTATACAACTCACCATAATGTAGAATCTGTGAGAGCTCTGAGCTTGTTTTCCTGCAACTAAACGGTCCCATCTGGGGGTGATGGGAGATAGTGACCCTGAAGCATGTTGCTTATGTTCTCAGCTCGACCTCAGGTCAGTAGGCATCAGATTCTCCTAAGGAGCACAGTCTAGATCCCTCGCATGCACAGCTTACAGTGGACTTCCCACTCCTGTGAGAATCTGATGCTGATCTGACAGGAGGTGGAGGGCAGGTGGTGATGCCGTCCAAGGGGAGCAGCTGTGAGTATAGATGAAGCTTCACTCGCTTGTGGGGCTGCTCACCTCCTACTGTGTGGCCAGTTCCTAACAGGCCATGGACCTGCGCTTGGGAACCACAACCCAAGACTGTGGAGCTGAGCAGCAGCAAGAAATCCCAAGTGATAGAATGGCTGATCTGCCCCTGACCTTGAATAGGCCACACTCTGACAGACACAGATCTCAGAATGTCCTGGATATTGCCTACTGACAGAGGGGAAGCAGACTGGGACAGATACCTGGGTTCTTTGGGGCAAAGGGCATTTCAGAAACCTGCAGCCTGGAGCAACAGCTCATAATTTTCAGTAATTTGTTTATTCATTCATTTGTTCAAACAACACTTTTTCAAGTGGTTATAGTGGACCAGGCACTGTACCAAGCTGTGGAAATGCAGCAGAGAACAGAATGGACACAGTGGTAATACCAACATGGTGTTTACAGCCTGGGCAAGGAGCTGAGGGTCTTCAGAGAAGGTTCTAGATTTCACTTTCTGCATTTTCTCATTAGCCATTTCTGATTTGAAGAAAAAATTACAACCAAGTTGTTGCAATAGACTTTTTTAAAGCAAGGTAGAATAGAATAAATGCTTCCTATAATGATGTTTTAATTACAAACATGATAGAAAACTAGGGTTAGTGTAAACCAAAAATGGAAGGAAAACTTCCTTCTAGCAGAGGGAATGTCAGGGAAATCTTGCCATGTTTTCCACACAGATCTGCTCATGTCCCTTCCTCCTGCAGCTTCTTGAGTTTTCTGCCTGGCAAAGATAGTCATACTCTCTGATAGAGGGTTTTACTCACCAGCACATTTATATGTAGGGTAAACAGTTGTAGGTCATGGGTGACATTGAGGCCCAGTGTTGGTATGAGCTGTACAGCTGTACAAGGGCAGTAGACACAGTTCCTACTCTCCAGGGATTTTGTCTTGTGGAACAGATGGACTTGTGCCCTGACATTGCAAGACAAGACGTGAAGAGAATTGACGAGGGAGAAATTACTCTTGACTGGGTGACTTCATCCCTGGTAGCTGGACTTTGAGGCAGGTAGAATTCTAATATGTGGGATCTGGAAGAGG